AAGTCATTGAAGAACTTCAATTAAAAAAGAAAATTCTAGTTCTACCAGAAGTATGTTATGAAGCAGTAATGGGGTTGGAGAGAAAATAAAAGGAAACAATAACATTCTTCAACTAAGTCTTCATTTAAAAGATGGGAGGAAATCAACACCTACTGTTTGTTTGCCTGCACAACATCACTTTACTGTTAATAAGAAGAGAACTCTATTTCTTTCCATTCCATTTCATATAGTACCATCCTCCATTTCTCTCCCCAATGTCAACATAGTGCTGGGTTTAGGATCTGAATAGGTCAATTAGACTCTCCCCAGAATTTTAATCTTGGAGGGAATGATATTACTTGGGCTTCTGGTCCTTCTCAAAACTTGGATACTTTCCCTCCAAGTCATTTTTTTTAAAAACAATTTTTAGATATTTATTTTTAAAGAATTTATTTTATTTATTTATGCATACAAGAGTTTAGGCCAGAGTTGTGGGAGGTGAGGGTGAAAAGGATTCACCAGAAACAGAGTAGGGAGCAGAACTGTTGTACTGACTGAACTACACTGCTGAAGGAAGCAGCAGGCCAGACAGGAGAGGTCTGTTGCACCACATGGGTCAGCCCTATGGCTGGGGATCGACTCAAGCCACAGTGGCTGATGAAAGCTTGACAGTGCTGAGACTTCATACTTTGCACCATCAGGGAGGCTCCCCTCTAAGTCCTTCAAATCTCTGAGCCATCATTATCCCTTCCAACAAAATACCTTCTACTTCACTGATCTGTAATCAATTTCTACTGCTTCAAACAAAATCCAAAGAATTTTAACTGGTGCGGGAGTTAAAAAATATTGTGGTTGGTTTGTGGTTAAAGAGAAAGGGAGGTTCCCTCCATGGTAGCACAATGGGTTCAAGTGCAGCACAAGTCACCCAGGCCAGGGAGGTGACCCACATTGAAAGGCAGACCTCTCCTATCTTGCCAACTACTCTCCTCAGCAGTGTATTTCAGTCAGTTCACCTGTTCTGTTTCCCACTCTGTCTCTGGTGAATCCTCTCACCCTCACACCTTTGGCTTATAACCAGTTCTTGTATGCACAAATAAAAATATATATTAAAAAAGAGGGAGAGACAGGGAGAGGGAGAGGGTTACATTCTCCTGCATCAGCTACTATTGTTGTTTTCATTTGAGTTCAATTTAATACACTAAACACATCATCGATACTTAGCAATGGCCCTAGTCACTACTGAATGACCCCGTCTAAGACAGAAGAGTTAACTGCAATAAGAAATAGGTACAAGCTAAATACCAATAGGATTCTTAACTATGAGGGTAAGCAAATTTTCAAATAAATTATATTGTTTTCCTGTGTCAGATTGGCAAAGGTACAAAGATTATAGCACGGGTTTCTCCCCAAAGGTGAATGTTCCTACTTGGTATGATTTGGTAGATTATTTGGGGGTTTGGAATCACTTAAAATTTTGCCACTTAAATTAATGGCAATAGCATTCCCAGGTCCTAAATAAACCTACCAGACCATACAAAATAGGAACACTACTTTCAGATAGTGGAAACCTGTACCTAGTTTTAGAATATGGGCAAATAAGAATTCTAATGGATACAAATATTTTGGATGCCAAGGTGTCAATATTTACTTTTTTAAATGCACCTACCTTCCTGTCCAGCATTTCTACTTCTAGGAATTTATTCCTAGGATACCTTAACCTAAAGTGAAAACGTTTATGTAAAAGAATATATGCTATCATGAAAACCTATTAATATCTAAAAGAAATGTAAACATCAAACAAACATGATAAGAGAAAAACATTTTCCCATGGCATAACTATTTTGGAGTGACACTAGCTCCTGATAAGTGGAATGAACTAGCTACAAAATGCACCCACAGGTAATTGCATAAATTGAAGCATTACCTAGTTAATTTGTAATTTTTATTGAAAACTGGAGAATATCAGCCAAAAATTAATTTTGGTTTGGCACACAATCAGTAATGCCAAAATTAGAAAGCTGACTGAAAGACTTCTTAATATTTCTAACTGGTTCGCAACAGAAAACTGACATTAAGAATGTTATCTCCTCACTTGCTATGGGACAAGCAGCTACCATAGGTGTTTGTTCTAGAGCGAAGGGAGGAATAATGACAGTCTTTTGTATGGTATCACTTTAGGTTGAGATCTGATCTATCAGAACACAAACTAATTCTTTTCATTGTCACAGAGATGTTAAAACACAGATTTTATATAAGTTTTGATTAGACTTATGTTAATAACAGATGGGAGGAAAAAAGGCTATAAAAATCTTACCATGTTCCAAAATGCTTCTCACAGTGTTATATGAAGTATGCTGGCATATGTTCCATATTCAATCATCTGTAGGACAGTTATTTAAGAAAAAAAAAGAAGTTTCTTTACGGCTAGATTTCTTAATCTTTAAGAAAACAGTGTGACGGACAGTCTGTTTTTAGTGCTTCCCCAACTTAATTGACCCTGGCACCCTGTTTCCTATGGGATAGATATGCTATTTTGCTATCGCCCAGTGCCCATTTTATTTTCTTAATCAAAGATCCATCTCTCCCTCACTCACCTAAAGGACATGTCTACAGGTCGATTCTCCAAGCCAGGACAACAAAAGCTAGAATCTGAATTGGGAATTAAAAGAGCAATAAATCGGGGTTTAACTGATGATGACATGGTTGCTCTGACTGTGTCCTGTTGTCATTCATTGCTGCTGTGCCCCCGTGGTTGATATAACTCCTGCTGGCTTGCTAGTGTAGTTATCGTGGTAGGCTCCCATCATTTCTCAGACCTCCTGATACAACCTTTCATCAAATTCCCCTTTGCTTATATAAGGTAGATTGGTTTTCTTTTGCTTTGCAAAACCAATCTTAAAGATTGGCTTTTCTTCTTTAGTTTATTTCACACAATACCACTGAGTTAAAACACATGAAAGTCCTATGCTGGGTTCTACGACCTATTGTCTTAAGAGCTCAAAAAATATTTTAAATATATTTATTGAAAAAAGGACTAGTATTTCAAAGCACAGCTTTTGAGGAATGTTATTATAAGCTATTTTTTATGAGAAAAATCTTATATATTGGTATTCAAGAAAGAAAAAGGGTCTATAATCTCTTTGCTCCTCTAGTACAGAGAAAACTGGAATATGCACATGTGGTGTATTTTGATGGCTATCCAACAAACTATAGTCTCATTTTAGAGAATTTTTTTAAATTTAAAATATCTATATTTTAAATCAATCTTAAGAAGCCATATAGGAAACGACTTTTTTCTGAACTAAACATTTTTCTAGACATTTGACAGGCACTTAAAATTTTAATCAACATCTATCTGGCAGTCAGCAATATTTCTTAAGCCTCAAGTATGTGACAGGCATTGTTAACAAATAGAAATTCAGTGATGATAGAGTCCAGTAAGTGTGAGATATTTCCATAATCACACACATGATGAGTTTGTGACATATTTGTTGTGTGTGTAAATAGTTTTATTCTCTGCACTTTCTTTAACAAATAGCTTCTTTTTAAATAGATCATCTAATTAATATATATGGGTTTAAAAATTGTAAGTATAGTCATTTCAGTAACAAATTGTGAATCCTAAGGGAGTATTTTATATAGACACCAGTCATTGTTAATATTCTGGGTTCAAACATGCTTTCACATTTGATTTTCTGTTATAAAATAGCACCCAATGAAAAACATTAAAATTGCTTATGAAAAATTCTAGAGAGGCTAATCTTTGCAGTGGGTTGTCATTCTTCTTTTTCATGGTGTCTAGGTCTTCTGGATAAACAGCTTCTCTTAAAGCCCAAATATCAAGAACATGAGAATGAAGCTACTGCAAGCCAGCCAGTCAGACCTAAAGTGAGGTGGGGAGCAGGGAACCAGCAAGCCCAGAACACCTGTACATCTGAATGTGGAAACTGCTGAACCTTGATAATAAGAATGTTAAAGATACCCCAAAATAGACCAGAGCACAAGGCCAAGTATGGTGGAACACCATACTCACCTCTGCAGGAGATGAGACATAACATTCATTGAACTTTCATCTTTGCCAGTTTCAATGCCAAATCTCTACAAAATGCATTTTAGAGTTTCATTGCACCTGGTGGCTTAACTTCACATTGGACCAAATTTTCAATTCAAAAGAGAAATATGAAGTACTTTTTACCTATTCAAATTAGCCACTTGGTTTAGTGTGCATTTCTGTTTTACACAGGGCTGACGTGAATGATCCGCAAGTGATACAAAAATGGACTAAGGTTTAGAATTTCACTGGTGTTGTGGGGCTGTTGTCCTTCTGTGGGCAGTTTTAATACCTTTTCTCACTCCTGGGGTTCAGGGCTTTCTTCCATTCCTGCCAGGGGGATCCATCCTTTATCATTTTTTAACGTTGCACTGACACTTCTATGGACAGTCCCACAAAGGGTATCATTGTAAGGGGAGGCTACTATATAGTTTTTGCCAGGGGCCGCTAGGAATATTGGGCGACTTGAGCTTCATAAGTTAGTTGGAGCACGAAGAGGGAAGCAGGGGCCAGTGCTCTCAGGTACCCCAAGTCGGGGTCATGGCTTTTGTACCCGCAAGCTCCTGGTCCAGCCAGGAAAAGAGTCTAGCAGAAAGCGTCTGAGTTCGCCGGCCGCGTTCATCTGAGGAGAAGTGGTAACTCGGCTACACGCTGCCAGGCGACCTACCACCCGGAGCTGAGGAGCTGCTGAGCAAGGAGGTGCGGCGCGAAGCAGAGGGACTTCCGGGCAGTGCGGGTGCGCGCGCCGACTCG